AGGAGAAAGGAAAAAGGGGGGAGGGGGCAATTGCAGCGAATTATAGGCGATTACCAGGTTGAAAATCATAGATACAGGGAGTATAGAAGTGGAACCAAACTGGAAAAAAAAGAATCCGCAGACAGGACAAAGAGGCTAAAACAGCCTCTGGACAGGTATAGTTGATGCCTCTATAAATAAATTATTGATGGACTGGTACGAACCAGGGGAATAATTATGTTCTTTTCCGCTAAAGCAGGGATATTTTAAGGGTGGAATGTTTCGCGCTCTCAGTTACACCCCAACATTCTGCGCCCTTTCTCGAGTCCGCAGTTTCTTGTTTCGCAATTTAAAAAAAAACCCTGTCTGCTGTTGTATTACCCCGCTTTTTGCACTCAGTTTTATTTTTATTATATTTTGACTGACCTTTAGATGCTCATGACTTTTAGTGTGCTCGTTGAACAATTCATTAAAAGTAGCGAATTTCTTAGATCTTTTTCTAAAATCGTAAGATTGCTGATCTGAAAATGTATCTGTACTCGAAGGCATTTAGTCATCAATAATTTTAAAGCACTTTATAAAGTGTGTAGCGCAAAAAAAAAGTGAGAGCAAGTGTAAGATCGTCCTTGTCATTGAACGTGTACGTCATTATGAATTGTTCGCATTCAAGCGAGGTCGGGTTTTTTTTTTCAAATAAAAGAGACGAAAGTAGTATTTTTTTTTTTAAAACAATAAAAGAAGCGGAACCAGTAATGATCTCTTTTATCATTTTCAGAGCAAAAAAAATATTCCTGAAGTTTGACTGCACTTCAAACGCAAGTGCAAATTCAACGTGCACTTAGTCAAGGGATACTCGAGACAGCAGTGCAAACCTTGGCACGACACGAGAAAGTCAACAGATTATCGACGGAATTGCCAAGAGACTGGGCGTTATAGGGTTCAGCCGGGGAAGACACCCAGATTTTGGTTTGTGTCTTTCTCGTAGCCCTTCATGTAGGCTACTTGTCGATTGGACTATCCTCGAGAGAAAGACCCCCCCCCCAAAAAAAAAAAAAAAAAAAAAAGAAAAAGAATGGTTTCAACGGTTTACAAAGCACAGTCATAGCTATTTGACCGAGAATGTACCGTCTTTCTTTTGGTACGGGGGACGGCCACAACAGAAAAGTGTGCCCAAGTAGTGACAAGTACTTGTCCCGTGTGTCAGAGGGTCTCGCTGATTGATGGGGCATGAGGC